CCTTGCTTTTCCGAGTTAACAGCCTGCTGGTCTTCTCAGACTCACTGAATAAATCAAAGATAAGAGGGAAAAAATATGCATGGCCAGGATACAAAAAAAAGATGTTGAGACCCTAGATAGACTGCAGAGAAGAGCAAAGAGAAGAGCCAAGATGACCGAAGTTAAATTGTGTGATGAACAGTTGAAGGAACTGAGTATGTCTAGTCTAACAAAGGGAAGGACTACGGATAGCATGATAGCCGTCTTCCAACATTTGAGGGGCTGCACAAAACAGAGGGAGGTCAACCTATTGTCCAAAGCAGGCCAAGAAGTAATGGATGGTACTTATCAAAGAGAGATCCACTAGAACCATGATGGCGAACCTATGGCACGCATGCTGGAAGTGGCATGCGCAGCTACTTTTGCCGGCACGCAAGAGGTTGCCCGGGAAGAGCCCCACTGCACATGCGCCCGCACCCCCTGCCACCCAGCTAATTGTCAGGTATCTGCCACGCATGCGCAGAGGCATGCAGCATGCAGGGGGGGTTGCGTGTTCATTGCATTATGGGTGCAGGCTCACAACTTTTGCATTATGGGTGCAGGCTCACAACTTTTGGCTCGCAACGTTAGGGGTGGGATTCTACCGGTTCGCACCTATTCGCTAGAATCGGTTGTTAACAATCTAAGCAGTTTGGAGAACCGGTTGTTAGAAGAAATTACTGGCCTAATCCTGTAAGGAAGGCAGGAAGGAAACATTCTGGTGTTGCTTACAGATATTGCCTCCCCGTTAATCCTTATTATATTCTTGGCAGGACTAGACTTCCTGTCTCTGGAACTTCTCTGGAGGTTTTTTTTTTCCCCTCCTTTGCTGGTACTTTGCTTGTGTGGAGTGACCATTCAAAGTTACACTGGCACTGAAAAAAGTGACTTATGACCATTTTTCACACTTACGATTGTTGCAGCATCCCCACAGTCATGAGAGGCCAGGCGAGGAGATGCATGCCTCGATGTGAGTGATGTTGAGTTGGCCACACCCAGCCAGTCACATGACCACCAAGCCACGCCCACCAACTAAACCACACCCACAGAACCGGTTGTTAAAATGTTTGAATCCCACCCCTGTGCAACGTGGAAAAGGTTTGCCATCATGGCACTAGAATTTTCAACCGAGAAATTTCCTGTCGGTGAGAACAATGAATCAGTGGAATAACTTACCTCCAGAAGTTATGGGCAATTCAACACCGGAGGTTTTCAAGAAGAGATTGGACAGCCATTTGACTGGGATGATATAAGGCTCCTGCCTTGAGCTGTGAGTGGACTAAAAGTCTTCCAATGTCCCTTCCAGCCCTACGTTTCTATAGTTTTATTATTCTATTTTCCAACGAATCGGAAGGCAGGACAAGCAGCAATGGGTTTAGATCCTAATTTTATTTGATCTGCAACTTGGAAGGTCTTAGAGGTCTTCTAGTCCAACCCTTTGCTCAAGGAGACCCTAGACCATTTGTTCTATGGTTCTACCATTGGTTCTATGCAAAAAAAAAAAGTTTCCTTGATACAGCAAAAATCTTTGCTGCCTCCCCCATCTCCCATCCCTCTGTGCTTGGAAGAGCTATTCACCAGGCCTGAGTGCCCAAGGGAAGCATACAGATACAGATACAGGTTAACAGAGTTCGAAGGGACCTTGTAGGTCATCTAGTCCAACCCCCCAACCCAGTAGACTCTACATGTTTTGACAGATGGCAGTCCAGTGATGAAAGCTTCCAGTGATGAAGCCCTCACAACTTCGGAAGGCAATTTCTGTTCCATAGGTTGATTGCTCTCACTGTCAGAAAATCTCTCCTTGACCAGTTTACGTCCATTATTCCTTGTCTGGCCTTCAGGTGCTTTGGAAAATAGCTTGACCCCTTCCTCCTTTCTGTGGCGGCACTTCCAATATTGGAACACTGCTATTCTGTCTCCCCTGGTCCTTCTCGTCACCAGACTAGCCAGGCCCAGTTCCTGCAACCGTTCTTCATATCTTTTAGCCTCCAGTCCCCTCATCATTCTGGTTGCTCTTCTCTGCAATCTTTCTAGAGTCTCAACATCTTTTTTTATAGTGTGGTGACCAAAACTGGAGGCAGTACTCTAGGTGTGGTCTTACTAAGGTTTTATAAAGTGGTATTAGTACCTCCCTTGACCTTGATTGGATCCCTCTGCTAATGCAACTTAGATTTGCATTGGCTTTTTTGGCTGCTGCCACACACACATCTGACTTCTCCTTAATTTTATAGCCAGAAGAGGTAGATTCCAACTCTCCCCAAATCCTAATTGCAGAAACTGCTTGAGCAGAAGACGAGGAGACTCCACACTGTCTTTCTTCCCATACATCTCTCTTAAATACAATCCTCTGTCTACAGCCGGAGATAAGAATCAGTCAGGCTCCAATTCTTTTTTAACAACACAACTAAATTTCACAAGGCTGGAGGAAAGAGGGGGGGAGAAACAGTTCAGGTCAATCCATTCATTACTGAGGTTTTGCCCTCTGTTTTTCTCTCATTGACAGCCCAAAATGGGAACAATCCAAGGGAGGGTGGGAGAGATTCTATAAAAGGTGTAGAATGTTCTGGTTGGTGTTGTAGCACGTTAGTCAAGAATGCTTTGTTATGTTCCTCTGGTGTTTGTTTTCTTACCCTCTGGTGTTTTTAATCTCTGTGTTTTGTTTTGTTTTGTTTTCTGATCTCATGCCTGAATGTGGCTCCTTGGAAAAACAAACAAACAAGCAATAAATCGTTAAACTCTGTTCAACATATAGCACAGATCCATTACGTCTCAGCTGGAAACTTTTTATAAATTGTTCACCAGAAAGGAAAAATACAAATACTGCAACTAAATAGGAGTCATGCCCCCCCCCCCTTTTTAATCACTTGTTAGTTTCAGTCCTCCAAAATAAAAAGAGCAGGTAGTTTGAAAAAAGCCATGGACTAGCTCTCCCAAAAGTACAATATTTAATCATTACGCCTAGGAATTATTTTTGTTCCAGTTATTCAGGAGATGCTAGGCTGTGGAAGGTTAGAAAAGGGGTGTTAAATTACCTTCTTTAGGGGGGGGGAGCGGAGAGCTTTTGTAACTCTACATGCTGGTTACTGTGTAGTATAGATAAGCCTAAGTTCATAAAAGCATGCAGTGATGTATTTTATTAGCTCAATTAAAACAAACAACAAAATCTGCTATCTCCAATTCTCTCCCATTTTATCTAGCTTTATTGGTCCAATAAACCATATCGCCACTGCTTTTTTTGATCTTGGGGAAGGAGGGCATGTTTGTCTTTCAAAATAATTTGTCACCCACTGCAAAATGGACCTCCAAATACTAAGTCTAGACTTGCCATTAAACAAGATGAGTCAGCCCATCTCCAAAGGCAGGACCATTCAAAGCAGAACATACATGGTGCTTTAGGCTGTGTTTTTGTAATATCACTTGGGTTGTGTGGATTTGATCAGGGCACCAAACTCTCCAGGATTATCTTCTGTGTCCTTGGTGGTCTCTGAGAGCTTGGTTGTTTTCTCGCAGACATTTCATGACCCAACTAGCTAACTTCATCAGTGCTAGAAGGGAGTTGGGTTTGTGCAGTAGTAGATTAACCATTAAGCAGACTAAGCACGTGCTTAGGGCACCAGACCCAAAGGAGGCACCACAAAAACTTTTCTATAGCCTAAGCTTGGCTTCGTTAGTACAGTATGTACAAAGGAAGGGGGCACCAAGTTTTGTCAGTGCTTAGGGCACCAGAGAGCCTTAATCCACCACTGAGTTTGTAAGTGGGGAGAGGAGGAGGAAGAGGAGGAGGAGGAGGAGGAAGAGGAGGAGGGAGGAGGAGGAGGAGGAGGAACTGATGGATCCTTGGTGCTCTCTGAGAACCAGATAACCTTAATCAGTGCTAGTAGAGTGTGGGTTTTTGCTCCTTGATTAGGAGACTACTTAATTAGGGAAAAATTGTAGAAAGTTAGCTCCCACCCCTCTCCTACAAGAATGAAGTATTATAGGAAATATTAAAAAGGCAGCATATTGTATTTCCCTAAAGGGAAAAACATGACAGAAAGCCACTTCCCACCATCCTTATAGCCCACGGCAGATTGTCAGCACTTAAGAGATAAAGAGATAGAGAGCTCTATTCATAAGCAAAGCAGGCAGAAATCCATTCAAGAATTCCCTGCCGCAAGGTCTGAACAACCGTAGGATTAGCCCTCAGCCACCATAGGAATTGCCCAACGCCCCTTCATTGCCTCAGCCATCCAAACTTCAACCAAACTTAGTTCAGACAAACCCCTAGGGCCTATAGAGCCAGCTATGACCCCTAGATAACCCCTACAACAGCCAATAGAAGACATGTTCTTGCACAGGAACAGGAAGCTCAAGTGCAAAGCCCAAGAGAAGGTATATTTAAAAAAAAAAAACCACTCTCAACTCCACGTGGTTGGCCGCCCATAAACGGTTCTGTGTCACCGTTAAAACCCTCTTTCCCAGAGGTCTCCAAATGTGGAAGACTTGTGGAAGTCCTCAAGTCTTAAAAGTTGCCCAAGTTTGGGGACCCCTGGTCTTTCCAATCAGCCTCCAGACTCCATTTTTGTCTCCAGCGACTTTCTCCAGGTCTTGGAACCTGAACCAGATGGGACCTTTCTTCCCTTATCACACGATCCAATTCGGGGACTTTAGGTGCGCCGCCGCCCTTTAGTGCTCCCTGACCTCGGTTGCTTTAGAGCGGGGATCGGGGCGCCCTCCGGGGTCCCGCACGGAGCTGAGAGCGCCCGGTTGGCGAAGCTCGTCCCAAGAGGCCCGCTAGACACGCCCACCCTGTTTACCAGGCCATGCACATGGCTCGCGCCCGCCTCCGATTGGCTCCGGCGGCCCGGCCTGCCATGCGGGCGGCCAATGACGTCGCGGGCCACGCGCCACGGGGGGTTGGCTGGGCGGGGCGCGGGGGGGGGGGACAGAGGCGGGGCGCCTGCGCGGCTGCGGCGAGTCCGTCTGAGGCGGCGGCGGCGGCCATGGCGGGCCGGGGGCGGCCGCTGCTGCCGCCGTTGAAGGCGCTGTCGGTGGCGCTGGGCGAGGCGTCCTGCGGCGCTCAGGGCTACCGCGGCGGGCAGGAGGTGTCCGGGCAGGTGTTGCTGGAGCTGGCGGCGCCGCTGAGGCTCCGCGCCCTCCGCCTCGAGGCCTGCGGGGGAGCCCGGGCGGCTTGGACCGAAGCGCCGCCGATGCAGCCGCTAACGCCGCCTCCTCCTCCGGTGGCGGCCGGGACCCGTCTGGAAGCGGAGGTGCCTTACCTGGAAGCCCGGCGGGAGCTGCTGCTGGCAGGCGAGCCGAGGGAGGGGCCGTGGGAGGGAGGGAGGGAGGGGAGAAGGGCGAGGACTACCACCCCCATCATCCCCGGCCGCGGCGTGGGGCACGGGCGCTTCAGCGAGGGAGCCTCCCGGCAAAAGTCGTCCCCCCACCCACCCACCCACCCCCTCGAAGAGGCGGGACTGCCCTCCCCCATCGCCCGCGGCCAGCCAGACGACGCAGGACTACACTCCCCATCGTCCGCGGCCAGCCGGCGCCCCGGGTCGAACTCTTCCTTAATTCTCCTCCCGCAGCTCCTTTTCCCGAAAGCGGCTTTTTCTGCCAACGGCTTTGCCCCGCCCCTGAGTGGGGTGGGGGTGGGGGGGTTCCGTCTCCCATCATCCCCAGCCGATGCCTCCGGAGAATGCCTTGGCTGGAAAAAAATCTGGGGAAGTGGGGAGGGGGCCTTGGCCGGGCATCGGAGTCCCGGGAGTCATTCTTTCCTTCCTGTTTCGCCTGCATCTGCATCTGCCCCCCCCCCCCCACTCTTCCCCTGTTTGGGGGATGATGGGCCTTGCAGTCCGACGAGACTGCAGGATGACACGCTGACCCGTGTTGCGTCCAGTCGGTTCAGTGGAGCTTTGGGGATAAGAGTTGCTAATTTCTCCTTGTGCCCCATCTTGATTGCTTATTGTACCCTATGACTATATTCTATATATACGATACACCCTGTGACTATAAAACCTTATGATTGTGGTTAAGTGTTGCACCTGATGACCCTTGACGGACGTCTCTTTTCTTTTACGTACACTGAGAGCATTTGCACCGAAGACAAATGCCTCGTGTGTCGAAATCGCGCTTGGCCAATAAAGAAATTCTATTTTATTCTATCTTCTTCCATCAGTTGGGGGGGGGGGGGGGGGCTGCAGCCTGACTTCAGTTCCCATGGTCTTGTGGGCTGTGGATGATGGAGGTTGCATTCAGTGGGGGGGGGAGAAAGAAAGGTGTTTTGAGTGTGCATGTATGTATGGGGAAGGTTAGAGACTTCGCAAAGGCCGTTTCTGCAGGCCGCCGTGTCTAAAAAGAAGATCAAAAACGGAAACATTCTGTTCTTCCAGCTGGCCAGGCTTATTTATAGGAACAGAGAAGGCAATAAATCTCCCTGCAAGGACTGATAGGAACTCAGGTTGATGAAGCTGGAGCCTGTCTAATGGAGGCTGGGAAGAGCCCCAGAAAGACTGTTTATAGTGTTTTTTTATTTATTTTAACTCTGTAAACAAGTTGTTGGCTCTCTGGAACAATTGGGATCTTGCTTTCGTCGTGAACATGCTGAATCATACATACCCCCGGTTAAATAAAGCAAAAGTCATTTAAAGATCAGCCGGCTAAGATAAAGCCAGTTAGTGAAATAGACGGAGCAGGTATGGGATGAATAAATAAAATGGGAAATGGCTTCATAACGTGCAGACTCGGTTAATTAGATGTGAAATGGAGAGGAGGGTAAGGGAAAGGATCGGATCCTGCTGGGGTCGAGGGATAGCTTGGGGGAGCCAGGGTGGGAGAGAAACAGTCAAAAATGATAGCTGTCTTTCTGTCAAAAAGCTTCCAAAATAACCATAATCACAGCATCTTTTACAGCATCAGAGAAACAATCAGCCGCTGCCTTTTTCCCCCCCAGAGGCTCTCTAGAACAGTGGTCGCCAACCGGTGTCTGCTAAGTTGCTATTTTTCCTTTTTCCGACCATCATCTTTTCTGCTGTGCTAGGAGATTTAGATTAGCTAGGAAGCAGGAAATGGTTGGATTTCTTGCTTTCTAGCTAAGCACAGCCGAACCTCCCTTAGGACTGAAGGTTTGCTTGCAAGCAAATTCAGTGCAGACTCACGGCAAGCAAATTTGAGAGACTGAGCTAGCCGATGGCAGATAGATCACTGAATGATTCTGTGAGCAACTCAATCTGCCTGCTTTGCCTGATTTTGGGTAAAAGTTGCTCTTTTTTTAATAAAAAATTCAATATTTACATGCATGGTGTGTTGTGAGTTAATTTTGTGAGTTTGCTTGCAAGCAAATTTGATGTGACAGACTGAGCTAGCCAATGGCAGATAGATAGATTTCTGAATGAATCTGTGATTCTGTGAGCAACTCAATCTGCCTGCCTGCTTTGCCTGATTTGGGGTAAAAGTTGCTCTTTTTTTATAAAAAAATTCAATATTTGTATAAATATTTTTTATATTTACATACAAGCCATGCCCAGCCAGTCACATGACCACCAAGCCACACCCACAAATTAGGCCACGCCCACAGAACCAGTTAGTGGTCCCTGGGATCTGAAATTATGAGTTTGGTGGTCCCTGAGGTCCAAAAAGTTGGCGACCCCTGCTCTAGAATAAAGTGCTGGCAGCTGGGTCAGGAAGGAAATGAGTCATTCACATATGAATGTTATTCAAGAAGTGGAATCTGCAGTTTTGAAAAGGGGAAAGGCAAAGCTCATTTAGTTCCATGGGAAATTGGCTGAAGCCAAGCTAGAGTTGAGGAGCCTGATTTGGGGATAAAGTCTGTCACTTCCTCCTGAAAGGGGAAAAAAACATTATGCCAAGGTGATGGGGTCCTTTCAGAGGGCAATACTCAGGGAGACGGTAGGAAGATTGGAGAGATCTCTTAGAATGTACCCAATTTCGTTATACTGTCTGCAAAATTAGACAGATTTTGACGGCTCATGGACAATCCATCGATATCTGCAATATATGATCTTGTCTTTTTTAATTTTTACATGAAGTATTAGTATACTTATAAAGTCTTAGTGAGACCACACTTGGAATATTGCATCCACATTACAAAAAAGATGCTGAGACTTTGGAAAGAGTGCAGAGAAGAGCAACAAAGATGATGAAAGGACTGGAGGCTAAAACATTCAAAGAATGGTTGCAGGAATTGGGTACGTCTAGTGAAATGAAGGACTAAGGGTGACATGACAGCAGTGTTCCAGTATGTGAGGGGCTGCCACAAAGAATAAGGGGTCAACTTATTTTCTAAACCACTAGAAGGAAAGACAAGATGGAATGGAATTCCGATGGATGGAAACTAATCAAAGAGAGAAGCAAACTAAGGGGAAATATCCTAACACCGAGAACAATCACCCAGTGGAACAGCTTGCCTTCAAAAGTTGTGGGTGCTCCATCACTGGAGGCTTTTAAAAAGAGACCGGACAGTCATTTGTCTGAAATGGTGTAATGACGCATCCGATCCGCAGGCTGCCAGTTTGACGCCCCTGGTATAAGGTTGGACTAGAAGACCTCCAAGGTCCCTTCCAATTTGTTATTCTGTGTTCTAATGCTTTTTATTTGTAATGCTGGTCTGGGACTGTAATAAAAATTACCTACTTGGGAGATTTGAAAGGAATGAATGTATCCACGTGGTTGTTTAACTACTATTGTAGATAGATCCTCTGTAATTCCAGATTGTAGTAGAAAATGCTTGAGATTGATGAGAGGATCCCTGGTACAAGGGAGAAGGGCACGTGCCAAGGAATTGAAAAGTTTAGCGCCAGCTGAATTGGAGGAATAGTTGTTGGAATTGGAAAACAAAGTACAGGTAGTCTTGGACTTATGAACACAATTGAGCCCAACATTTCTGTTGCTAAGCGAAACATTGGTTTTCCCCCATTTTACAACCTTTCTTGCAACAGTTGTTAAGTGAATCACTGCAGTTGTTAAGCTAGTATCATGGTTGTTAAGTGAATCTGGCTTCCCCATTGACTTTGGATGTAAGAAGGTCGCAAAAGAAGCTCATAATCACCCTGGGACAATGCAGTGGTCATAAATATGAGACAGTTGCCAAGCATCTGAATTTTGGCCATGTGATTATGGGAATGCTGCAACAGCTGTTAAGTGTAAAAAACAGTCATAGGTCACTTTTTTCAATACTGTTGTAACTTCGAGCAGTCACTATACGAACTGTTGTAAGTCGAGGACTACCTGCAATGATTCCCATATGCCGAGTCTGATCCCATACACATCTACACAGTTTTCTTGGCAGCAGTACAAAAGTGATAATATCTTAATTCCTTTTTTATTTTATTGCTGTACCGAATCAAGTTACAGCCCATCCACAAGTTATTCCAATGGGTGCTAAAGGCCTGTTGAGATTGTGTCTTCTACACAACTATTAAAAACACAAGAGGCTTTATTTAGCATCTGGGTTTTTCGTTGTTTTTTTTTTGCCAAAATAATTTCATTTGTCTTTTAAGGTCCTATAGAGTTTTGCTGAATTTTCTTCCGCATGTTAACATGTCTCCCTAATAGAATTTTCCAGGATTTACTGGCAGCTATGCGGGAAGTCGAGCAAGCAAAATTCTCCAGAGACTTTGACACTGAGCAGCTTCTATTTTAAGGCTGTGTTCTCACTGGCAGCTGTATCTGGTGAAACTAGGCCCGTTTGCATCCCCAGCGGTTGTAGCGTGTTTTAACATATCCCTCCTTGCCTTCGTTGCAAATTTGCTGTCAAGTGACTACAAGAGATTTACAAACTCCCTGCCTACACCTAGGAAACAGGAAAAAAATAGAAAAATAGTGTGTGTGTGGGGGGGGGGGGGGGTTCCTCTGAAGAAAATGGAATTAAAAATAATACTAGTTATCGATTTAAAAAGAAGCTATTATATTGCACAAAATTGGCTTTTCATTCCATGCCAGGTAGCTATCAAAAAAAAAACCAGTTTCAGCCCATTTTTTAAAATAGCGTAGCAAATCTTAAAAGCCAATGGTGATGTGCCTCCACTTCAAGCAAAGCACAAGATTTGGCACATGGTGCCAGTTCCCCTCCTTCCCTCCCTCCTTTCTGTAGAGTTTTGCCTACACAGGAGGAATGGAACTCTTTTAATGTTGCCTTCATTAGATGAAGTCCACTTATTGGCGCTTTAATCTGCGAATAAAGGTTGATTCATGCGCAATGCAAGTAGTCCTCGGCTTACCACAATAGAACCCAAAATTTCTGTTGCTAAGTGAGACATCTGAAGTTAATTTTGCCTCATTTCTTGCCACCGATGTTAAGTGAATCACTGCAGTTGTTAGTAACACAGGCTGTTGAAGTGAGTCTGGCCTCACTGACTTTGCTTATCGAAAGGTCAGAAAAAGGGATCACATGATCCTGGGATATGGCAACCGTCATAAATATGAGGCAATTGTGCCAAGCGTCTGAATCTTGATCACGTGACCATAGGAATCCGCAACAGCTGTAAGTGTGGAAAATTGTCATAAGTCACTTTTTTCAGTGCCGTTGGACCTTTGTGCAGTCATTAAATTAACTGTTGTAAGTCGAGGACTATCTGTAATGTGAGTGAAGAGCCCTTTGGCTTAGGTTGCCCTTTGAACAGCTTGGAAAACCAAGCCTTCAAAAGAAGAAAATTTCACAGGCAAGCCAGGATTTCTGGCTTGTCCTGGACGTTTTTTGGGGGCAAAGTTTTTCAACTATTGGGCTGCCTTACTCACATTGGCAGGAAGTCATTGCACTTGTGCAAATCGTTGGAGTGCTTTCATTCCTAGAAAGGCATACGCTGCCCTCGGGGTAGCTTACAACATTAAAATCTAATTTAGTTCCCTGACATTCACATTATCCAATTGAACTTCAGTCAAGTTCGTTGCTTTTTTTTAAACTCTCCGCATAAAGTGACATCACAAACGTTTTCCCTTTTGAAAATACAAAACACAAAGACATACATGCATAGCTCTGTTTCTGCCCATCTCCCTTCCTTACATGGTTCAGTAGCTCATCTCTCCACCTACGCAATTTGGTGTGGATAATAGAAAATACAAATCGTGCAGACTGCGCAAAGCACGAAAGGACTTTCGGTAACGTTAATTTAGTTCTGAAATGTTTCCTTACATTGCCCGGCTCGAAAAAGACACGCTCTTCCAGATGTTGCAGAACTACAGCAGAATGTTGTGTTCCTCAGCACAACAACCTGTCCCAATTGGTGGGGCTTAGCAGATTCTGAAGGATCTCTGAAGAGTTTCCTCTCTTTGCCTGATAGGAAAAGGTCTGTAGAATGATTTAGCCCTTCTCACTGACCCTTCAGAATTTGACTCTGCTTGCTCTCACTTCAGTGACCGTGATCTTGCAAGGAATTAAAGCAGTACAGGTAGTCCTGAACTTACGGCCACAACTGAGCCCAAAATTTCCATTGCAATGCAAGACAGTTCTTAAGTGAGTTTTGCCCCGTTTTATGACCTTGCTTGCCACAGTTGTTAAGCAAATCACTGCAGTTACTAAGTTGGTATCATTATTCTGTTGCTTTGATGTACCCACGCAGCTTCTGCATCAGAGACAAATGTGTCAATCAACCAGAGAACCAATCAGCTGTTCGGAATTTAAATATCGCTCCAGGCAAACAACCAATTGCTGGACCACACTGGTACACAAGACCTTTATAAGCTAAGGAGAATAGGACAAGATTGATGATGTTACCTAGTCTGGTAACAAAACGTTCAGAAATTAAATTGAAACAAGCTTGGAGAGCAAACCACTGCCAAAAACAAATGTGTCTAATTGCACCTGACCAAGTAAAGTATAAAGTAAAGTAAGAGACCTTACAACCCAGTTTGTCTCTGCCCATAGCATGGTTCACCTGGACGTTGGATGTATCAACTCAGTTTGTTCGAGTAACAGCAAGAAACCAGGGTTTAACTTGACTAAAATAGAATTAGAACAGGAAAGTACAGGTAGACCTTGACTTACAAATTGTAAGGATCCTGCCCATTACGGTCATAAGTCGTGACAGTCATAAAACAGATCACCCACACGACCGACCCACTCTTATAACCTTTCTTTGTGGCAGACGTTAAGCAAATGCACCATCAATTTCTGGAAGCAAGCTGCTCCACTTGTTAATTGTTCTCACTGTCAGGAAATTTCTCCTTAGTTCTAAGTTGCTTCTCTCCTTGGTTAGTTTCCACCCATTGCTTCTTGTTCTGCCTTCAGGTGCTTTGGAGAATAGCTTGACCCCCCCCTTCTCTGTGACAAAACCTCAAATATTAGAACCCTACTATCATGTTGCCCCTAGTCCTTCATTTCATTAAAAAGTTGCCCAAAGTTATTTTTAATTCTGTCCTGGTTGCTGCCTATCAGTGAAAGCAAATAAAATTTTATTTAATCAGCACGTAGATTTTTTACTGATTTTGCTCTTAGGGGGCTTTTCATAATGGCTATGATTAATAAGCATGATTTTAAATATTATTTTTCTTTCGTCTATAGGTGATGAGGGCTTCATCCTTTTAGAAGCTGGGAAATACGAATTCCCTTTCAGTTTTCAACTTCCTCTCCAGTAAGTGAAACCACTTAAACGGAAATGTTGGTTTTCATTGTAAATGTTCTCACAGAATCTCTGCAAACATTTTACCAACGGTGTGCAAAGTGGATGAAACATAGTGCTCTCTTCTGGCATGATCCTGATTTAGTTTTGATTTGCATTATATTAAAAGGTGTTTAAAAATAAAAGCTAACAGTGAGTACCTGGTAAATCCTTAAGTGCAACAAGTTGGACTTTAGGACTGTAATAACTTTGTCCTTGATAACGACAGCAAGAAGCAAGGGATGTACAATCCACTGTTCATTTTAAAGAGGCATTATAGAATACAATTAAACTGTGTTGCAGCAGAAATGCGGATTTAGCAAAGGTGATTTGAATAAAAATGAAATCCTTGTCCCAATTCTGTGAATAGTGTAGCTTTAAATAAAGTTGAATGCCATTTGCAGACTTGGTTGGTTGAGAAGGAAAGAAAATGCAATTAGAACAATGACTGAAGCGGACCAAATTTGCTGCTAGCAGTAGCATTTTTTTTTTACTTCCACTGTTCGCTAAGGTTGATTGTTTGATGAATCAAATAAAGATTTAAATCATTGGGAATGTGCACCAGAAAGTGTACCCATCCAAACGGGCCTATTTCCATCTTCCAGAGAGCCTCCAGAGCCCGGGGGGTAGGCCGTTTTCGTCCTCCCGGAGGCTTGAGAAAAGCAAACACACACACACACACACACACACACACACAGAATCCTCCGTGGCGCAGGAGGCCGACTAGGCCACGCCCACCCTGGCCACACCCACCCAGCAACCAGGCAGAGAACCCGTTGCTAAATTTTTTGAAGCCCACCCCTGAATACACCAGAGGGTTTTCTGTGCATCTGATGTTTTAGTATTTGTTGCCAGTTATAAAATAAATAAACTATGATAGTGCCACAATAACATGCATTTTACTTGATGTTCGATATGCATTAAAAGTTCAAATTGGCTTTCTTAAGCCTTCCTGAAGCAACCACAGAGAACAGCTGCCTAAACAGTCGCCTTTTGGGGCTTCACATTTACCTGAACACAAGTAAGGGGTTAATCAATCAATCAGTTTATTACAGTAAGAGACCAGAGACCAGAACAAATAAAAACACTCACTAAATATACAATTAAAAATTCTAGTATAAAATAATACCAACTAAAATCTATATATATAAAAGCAAAATGCCACTCACGCATCATTACAAAATCTCCAGAACTGTAAAGCCTACAAACTTGAAATTTGGCATGTATGTTCCTCTTGGCTTCTAGGTGCTCACTAAGAAAGGATTTTTCAAAATGACCAACAGAGCATTTAGAGTATTTCCTATATTATTATTATTAACAGGCTCTGATGCTAAGGAGTACTACTCTCCCGCCCCACCTGAAAAGAAATCTGTTCCAAATGCAAAACAAGCAGAGGAGAGGAGTTTCAATTTCAGTTTCAGTTTCACAGCACCAAGCAGTTTTAGTACAGAACAGTTGAGCTAAGCCATGCCCAGGCTCCTTGCTGTCTCACACAGCAAATACTGTTTCAGTTTCCAAACAGTCCTCAACTCTCTCTCACACACTTGACAGGACACTAGACAGATGAATACCGACGGATGCTGGTAGGCAGAGGCACAATTTCCCCCCCTTTTCTTCCCCCAAAACTAAACTCGACATAGTTTCATAGCGAAGCATGGGTATCGTGTTAGTCTATGATAAAATTCAGTCTGTCCATTATACATGGTCTAACTATACTAAAATGACAACCCATAAACTCTGGGGACCGTTGTTAGTTTAATAAGTAAAAGGGAAAGGAATAAGTAAGGGGTCAATTAAATAGTCTCCCGAGCCATCATAACGTGCCAGAATCCGAATCCTGTTCAGCGTAATTTCTTCACCCATCGTCATATGGAATGCACACGGCAATCTCTCAGGACCCTGAGCATCTCTTAAACATGCTGCCAACACCACAAGGGACCTCACAAGGAACCTTATGATCAGAGCAGGAAAGTCGTAAACAGTTGCCTAGGATAAGCTGGCCTCTCTGCAAAGAAAAATGTGCATTCCAATAACCCTCCACTCCAACCAATACCTCCGAGACAGACATCTTCTCAACAGTTTATTTTGGATAGTAACTGGCACAACTGGGGAATCCCAAATCTGGAAGTTCCGGGCTTCCTTGCAATAAGTAAAAACTACAAATCTATCCCTTGCACCCATCATCACATCACGTGCCCCAATCACCATCCGTCCCAACTTGAGACTTCCCCTCACTTATGCGCAGAATAACATGACCTTGAGTTAGAAAAAGAATGTTGTTATATCTAACTACATACCATCTGATCTCCATATGGCTTCCAAAGCTGACAATGTGCTAAACTTGCCATTCTCTGTCTCGTGTTCAGCCCCTTGGCGACCTCTTTCACAGGGAAATATGGCAGCATTCAGTACTTTGTGAAGGTAACCCTGGAGAGCGCCAGCGGCCCCCGTCAGTCGGTGTCGAGAGAGTTTCAAGTGATCAGCCACATCGATGTCAATTCTCCGGTTCTCTTGGTAAGAGCAGCACATGTCCAGCACTGGGGAAAGCAGGAGGGTTCAGGCCGTTCAAAGGAGTGCAGGTAGTCCTCGACTTAACCACAGTTCATTTAGTGACTGTTCAAAGTTACAATGAGGCAGGACAAAATGATGGTCAGCCTCCAAGAATCCTTTTCCTGCTTGTCTTTCTGGCTGCCGTAGAAACGGGGGGAGGGAAGAATAATTGGACTTTGTGAGGGGAAGGGTGCTGGAGGTTTAATAGAATAGAATTAGAATAGAATTTGAATTGAATTGAATTCTTTATTGGCCAAGTGTGATTGGACACACAAGGAATTTGACTTGGTGCAAATGCTCTCAGTGTACATAAAAGAAAATATACATTGGTCAAGAGTCAAGAATCATCAGGTACAACACTTAATGATAGTCATAGGGTACAATAAGCAATCAAATCATACTAGGAAACGGTCAATATAAATAGTAAGGATACAAGTGACAAAGTTACAACCATACAGTCATAAGTGGGAGGAGATGGGAGTGATGAGAAGATTGATGGTAATCATAATGCGGACTTTGTAAATAGTTGGACAGTGTTAAGGGAATTATTTGTTTAGCAGAGTGATGGCATTCGGGAAAAAACTGTCCTTGTGTCCAGTTGTTCTGGTCTGCAGGGCTCTATAGCGTCGTTTTGAGGGCAGGAGTTGAAAGAGTTTATGTCCAGGATGTGAGGGGTCTATAGGTATTTTCACAGCCCTCTTTTTGACTCATGCAGTATACAGGTCCTCAGTTGAAGGCAGATTGGTAGTAATTGGTTTTTTTTCTGAAGTTGGTGAAATGTAAAAGTTGGGATGTTTTTGTGACTATGCTTTCTGGCTTACTGCGCAGATGTAGCCTCTTATCTGTCTAAGCCAAGATCAACCATCTTGCACCTGCTTCTTAGTAAGGTGTCTGAAGCAGAGTACATTTCTATTATGGAGAAAAGGAGTAGGGCATGTCTTTCCATAGAATCATAGAGCTGGAAGGGTCCTGGGAGGTCTTCTAGTCCATCCCCCCTACCCAAAACAGGAGGCCTCCTTCCTGTGTCATGTCTTGAACCCTTTGAAAATCAGAATCTACAGAGTCACAATGCATTCTTTTCATGTACTCCAGAAAACACGCATTTAATATTCGCAATAATTGCAATAATGTTATTTTAGGGATCATAATAACCAATTGACAACCTGAGGTATCTGATAGCTGCATCAGAAGACAATGAGCCAGCAGGTGCTTCAGGGATGTGTATGTGTGGGTGTGATTGTGTGTTCTTCATGAGACTGCAACTGGGAAGGGTGGACAGGACCACGTATCTTTTCCAAAAACTATGACAGGGAATCTTCGACTTACGACCACAACTGAGCTCAACATTTCTGTTACTAAGCAAGAGAGTTGTTTGTTTTTGTCCCACTTTACGAACTTTCTTGCCACAGTTTTTTTAAAGGACAACTGTTCATTTAACAAGGTTGTTAAGGGAATCTGGCTTCCCTATATGTTTGTCAGGAGGTCGCAAAAGGTGATCACACGACCTCAAGACACCGCAACCATCCTAAATATGAGTCCGTTGCCAAATGTCTGAAGTTTGATCCTATGATCATGGGGGATGCTGCAATGGTTCTAAGTGTGAAAAACGGTCATAAGTCACTTGTTTTGGGTGAGGTTGTAACTTTGAATGGTCACTAAATGAATGGTTGTAAGTCAAGGACTTAACCTATACAGTCATTGTGGAGCTCACTAAGAATATTTGAGAATTAGAGCAACGTGCGGGTTCCATCCCTTAGGGAGTTAACCTGGTGGGACCCAGAAGAAGGGCCTTCTCCATAGTGGCTCCTTCTCTCTGGAACATCATTCCCCTGGAGATTAGAATGGCCACTTTCTGGTTTTTCATTGAAGAACATTTTGCTTCTCATCCAAGAAGCTTCTTCAGCTCTTCTGAAGAAGAACAACCCCGTGAGCTGGAGAAGCTTCTTGGATGAGAAGCGAAACATCTTCAGAGAGAAAAACATAAAGTCCAGTTGCTTCTTGAAAAAGCACCTGTGGGCCAACCATGACCTGGATGACCGAGAATCTCCACAGACTTTCATGGATTCTTATCCTTGCCCCATTTTGCAGAGTCCTGTAAGACAAACTCAAGATAAAATGATCGGGTGCTGGTTCTTCACTTCGGGTCCGGTTTCTTTGAGTGCCAAAATCGATAGGAAAGGGTTTTGTAACGGTAAGTATAATTCGCTTCATGCTATTATGTTTGGCTTTGGGATATGCTGCGAGTGCTGTTATTTCTGAATTTATAGAAATCTTGGATTTAGAAAGAGAAATCTAGTAAGCCTACATACGTGTGACTAAATCAATTTAATTTCCATCGTAACGAGTATGTGCTTAAGGCCCACAGTTATAATGAGTGCTTACATTTTAAAATGTGTTAGCTTAGAGAGAGGAACTAAAACAAGAGGGGGGAAAAATAGCCAGGGGAAGCTGTCCTAAAAATGCAAATTTATTTTCATCATAATAGATTAGTTTACAAATGTGGCTTTTTTTTTTTTCATGTTGCCTAGTGCAGAATTAGAATTTTTTTTTCCTGGCTTGAATATTACCGACAATAAGTACTACATTCCAAGGCATACTTAAGAAAACACTGTTCTACAAAGGAGGGGGCTGTGACTTGTGTAGGTACAATATCACTTACTTGGTGTTCCTGGGCTCTTTCTTTGGCTCTAGGTGAAGTTATACCAATTTATGCAGAAATTGAAAATTGCTCCTCGCGGCTAATTGTGCCGAAAGCTGCCATTTTCCAAATACAGACTTACGTAGTTCGAGGGAAAACAAAGACGTTTCGTCAAATGGTTGCCAACGTGCGAGGAAACCATATTGCCTCAGGGAGCACAGATACCTGGAATGGCAAAACTCTGAAAATTCCACCTGTCACCCCTTCTATCCTTGACTGCTGTATTATCAGAGTGGAATATTCCTTGGCTGTGAGTATGGTTTTCACCCAGTTCAATCTGTCGTGATCCATAGATTGTAATACAAGAGACAATCGATCCAGCCGATTTTGCCTAGACTTAGAAACTAAGAAGGATGGAGCTACTGGGACTTTCATAGGAGACCATTAGAAGATCACAGAATTATAGAATCATAGAACCAATCTGTTGGAAAGGGCCTTGGAGATGATCTAGTCCAACCCTCAAGCAAGAGCCTCTATACCATTCCAGACAAATGGTATCCAATCTCTTCTTGAAAACCTCCAATGATGGACCACCAAAACCTCTGGAGCCATTCCATTGGTTAATGAAAGGAAATTTCTTCTTACTTATAGGTTGGGTACCCTCTATCCAGCTTCCACTCATTACTTCTTGTCTTGCCTTCTGGTGATTGACTAAACTAACTGTAGGAGTTGACCAGGCTGAGCTCGAGGGAGGGTTCAAAGACGTCATTAATCTTGAGTCCCTTCATGCTCACAAGAGATCTAAGTCCAGCCCTCCTTCAAATCCATTAACTCTTATCTACCACCAATTTGCCTTGAGTATATATAGAAATATATATGTATGTATATGTATGTATGTAATGTATGTATGTATATGTGTGTGTGAGTGTGTGTGTATATATATATAAAGAGACAGACAGACAGACAGACAGACAGACAAGCGACAGAGAGAGAAACCGAGAGAGAGAAGAGATACTTTTATAGAGAGAGAGAATGCTAAAATTCTCTACAAGGAGCCATGACGGCACAGTGGCTAGAACGAAGTATTGCAGGCTAATTCTGCCGATTGCCAGGAGTTCGATCCTGACGGATTCAAGGTTGATTCCATCCTTCCAAGGTTGGTAACAATAAGGAGGTGCTATTGCTATATGCCTTTGAAAAATCCTGATTTCCCGTTGCTATAATAATCTGAACTACTAATGGTCAAGGCAAATTGGCCGTAGATAAAAGTCAACGGAATTCAAGGGAGGCTGAACTTAGATCTCCTGTGGCCATGAAGGTACTCAAGACTGGTGATAGCACTTAGACTTATATACTGCTTCACAGTGCCTTTACAGCCCTCTCTAATGCATTTGAAAACCTTAAACCTTAAAAAATATTCCCAAAGAAAGCATTATTTATTTGGAATAGAATAGAATGAGCTGGAAGGGACCTTGGAGGTTTGTTTGTTTATTTGTAGCTCACCTTTATCATTTTGACAAATAACTCAAAGCAGCAAACATATCTAAACACGTTTTCCTCCTCCTATTTTCCCTGCAACAACCACTCTATGAGGTGCTTTGGGCTGAGAAAGAAGGATTGGTCCAAAGTCACCAGGATGCCTTTTGTGTCAAATGCAGGACTTTAACTCACAGTCTCCTATTTTCTAGTCTGGTGTCTTAACCACTAAACCAAACTGTCTCCTTTTCATCTAACTACTTTAATACTGCGGCCTAGATATCTCCATGAGGTCAACAGGAACTTAACTCAGAAGAGATTCAATATTATAAGGCAACTAAATCAAGTGAGTGGAAAAAATTCTTTTGAAATAGGACAGAAAGTTCCAGGATATGGCTTGGAGAAGGGATTCCTGTTGCAAAACTCTTAGGCTTTATCCAATATTACTGTGTTTGTCGGTATTTCCTGACTTTTGGCAGCTTGGAAAATTACAAACTTTGGTTCCCCTCTGGCAAATGGTTTAAAATGTCTTCTCTCTCATCACAGGTATACGTTCATATTCCCGGTGCCAAAAAGCTGATGGTTGAACTGCCTTTGGTCATTGGCACAATTCCATGTACTGCTTTTTCCAGCAGGAACTCAGATTTTGTCAACCAGCTGGCTATGGATATGAGGTGGCTGGCTCAGGCACTGCCAGATCATCCAGAAGGTGCACCCCTGGGGCTTTTATTTTGTCTCATCATTTGGGGATGATTTTATTTTTTTTTTAGTGCCAAGGGAAAAACAAATCTTGAAAAAAAATTCAAAAGAAAGCTGGTATAGTGAAAGAAGTGTTTGACTTGGATCGGAGAGAGTGAAACTGATAAATAATCAATTTGTCTAGAAAAGTTTTTTTTGGAAGCCTAGATCAATTTCTGTTTTTCACTGAAATCTTAAGGGATGACTGTTTAAATATAATGCCAGGTTTTCTTGGCACGCCTTTGAGACTGGATAAGATATTTTATGATAGGTTGGATAAAATCAATTATTTTACTTAAAATGCGTACATTGAAATTGGTTTTTTTTTTAAACCTTCAATCATTTGATGATGGTACCAAAAGAATATTTGCATTTCAGAGTTGAACTGTGGAATCCTCAGTATTCTCTGAGCTTGGTGATTTTCTTGCAGATGTTTCATGACCCACCTAGGTAACATCATCAGTGCTGGATGATTTGCACACTCCCAGCACTGATGATGTTACCTAGCTGGGTCATGAAACGTCTACAAGAAAACATCCAAGCTCAGAGAGCACCAAGACCCCACAAAAACAGCCTTGTCAGGCTTGTCCCAACTTGAAATGTTTAGGAAAGAAACACCCCCGATTCCATTTTGTAGCGAAAGGTTTATTTTTTACTAAAGTCAAATAAGGTTACAGCGTAAGCAAAGTCTGTCTTTTCTCCTCTTCCCTGAATTTTTATAGCAGGATGACAGCTAAGCGAAATTGGCTGAAGATGGCTGACTTCACAATTTTTTATTCTGCAATCAGTGGAGGTCTTGGTGTTATTTCATTGTCTGTACCAATTTGCACAAAGTGCAAGCTGAATAGAGCATAATTCCATACTGGCTTAATGTGAAACTGGGCCTAGTATGTTGATCCACTGGGGGGAAAAAATAGATCTTTAGGAAAGAATTGAAATACTCTAGAAAGGGAATGGACATTTTTACTATAATATTTTATCCAAGGCAAATACATGTTCATGCATTAGTATCAAGTTCTTTAAAATTGGGTAAAATACACCCTCTGTTATGTATTAATGATGGGTTTAGTTATTCGATTTGTACTGTTGCTTAAAAAAAAGATGGAGAGAAATGATCAGTAGCAAACTTTATTTAAGTCACGCTGATTTAAAGTAGGGTTTTCTGTCTGTAATTTTAACAGCTCTTGATTGTTGTCAATCTTTTCACCCAGGAATGGATAGCCTGTTCTTTGAATTCAAGCCACTCTTTAAGGGCTTATGTTGCACTAAAATTATATCATGGCTGCATTTTGGATCATCAGCCATCATAATTGCAGCTTAGGAACTGATTGATATGCAGAAAAAAATCACTGTAGCATGATTTTACTTTGATGGAGATAAAGAGTTACATGTCCATGCACATGTGTTTGTTCCCTAGCACCACCCAATTATGCTGATATAGTATCAGAGGAAGAATACGCAAGGCATGTTACTGTTTATCCGACTTCAGTGGATTGTGACGAGCAGCTGCGTTGCCCTATGCTCGCCTACATCCAAGAATTCCGATTTCAGCCGCCTCCTCTCTATTCAGAGGTAACCGACACCCTCAAGTGCAATCTTGAAAGCTCCCCAACCGCTCTGTGTCAATTCATGAAACCCAAACAGTAAACACTTCTATTTTTCTGTGCAGATTGACCCCTATCCTACTGAGGTAGAAGACAGTCGGCCGGTTTTACTCATGGATTAAGGGTGATTCCAAAAAGCCTTGGTTTTGTTTGTTTTTTCTTTTGACTGCCTCTTCTTAAAGAATTTTTTGTTGTTGTTCAATAAAGCAATTTAAAATTGGAGCAGGCACCAGAAGATCTAAGTCAAAACGAATTTTGAACAAGAAGGGAAGCGTGGAAGAATGTGTTATTGAAGTCATTGGCCCACGCAACAAAGCCTGGACGTTGTTTTGGTCAGATACTTGTTATTTATTACATGTTTATCCCACCCCTCTCCCCTATATGTTGACTCTGGGAAGAAAATAAGTTTAGGTTGTGGTTCCTCTTCTCATAATGTTCAGGATATTTCAGAGAGCAGTAAGACAACCAGCTACAGGAGGTCTACCTTTGGGAATACAAATATTGGCATCTGTATCCAGATACAAGGATTTTTGCTCGGCACGATCAACTCCCTACCCAAGATTAAGTGAGATTTTGACTGCGCAGATTATTATTCTTTTCTTTTTTTTTCTGTTAAACACACGGACATATCATTCCTAAGTTTAATCATCACAGAGCAATACTGTGACATTTTTACCGTGAGTGAGTAACATTAAAAATACTCTATGCAACGTTGCATAGGCAGAAGCTTGGTCTCATTGCCAGCTTTGGAAATTGCAATTTTACAGCTGAGGCTAGGTTTCAAGAGTCGCTTTGCTCCACACTTCAGATTTGCTAGACGTTTTTTTGGGCCGCTTCAGCAATGTGGCCTGATTGGGCGAGGGGCCAGGACAGCCCAAACTTTCAATCAGGACTTTCTCAGCAATTTGAGATGCCATGACTTAAACCTCTTAAAGTAAAAACGATCCTTGGCGCCGTTGTTTGGGATAGGTATAGTTTTATTGCAAGCCAAGCGTATTGCAGTCAAGCAGAGCCCAAAACTGAAGAGTTGTGCACCAAAATCCCTAAATGGAACTTTTCCCTCCCTTTACAGTCTCCCATCGCCGACACCCCTCATCAGGTTCAGGCAAGGCGTTTTCAGAACGGTCAGTTCAAGCGTAGGCCTCTTCTCCCAGCTGAGTGACCTTGAAGCAGCCTCTTGGGGAGATACATAAGTTACTTTTGATTTCCCGCAAGCATCCACCCTTCCCAGAGTTCATGGCAGACTTTCACCGCATGGCAGCGAAACACACACGCGTAAGTAGGTAGCCGACATGCTGCTGCTAAACTGTACATAACAAGGATGCTTTTGCACTCTTTAAAAATTTGCCTAATGAATGATGAAACTCTATAGGACTATATCCATGGAATGTTAATAAAAGATCCTGTAAAAATTTTTAAAAATCCCTCCTTCCTGGAATGGGAGTTGAGACCAAAAATATTTCCCACTGAGGCCAACTTGCCTTTCTTAGGATTAACAGAATCCAGAATAGAAGAGCATTATTAACAGACCCAGATAATTTTCTGTGAAGTTTTATGAGAAATGAATTATAGGTACTGTGACACGTGGGTTTAAAATTTAGCATTTAAATTATTATGGTGCAATTCTTTAAATTTGTTTCTCAGGTCAAGGTGCTTTGCTCTGAGGGTAAAGTCTTATCTTCTTTCTTAATTCCTGGACAATTCTGTACTGTAACCTTTCAGCCTTTGCACTACAACTCACGTCCGGAAATATTGCCCCGCATTTCCATCCATAAACCGGTAGTCCTCGACTTAACGACCACAAAATTTCTGTGGCCAAGCAAGACAGTTGTTAAGTGAGTTTTGTCACAATTGTTAAGCGAACCACTGCAAGTGTTGAGTAGCACATTTGTTCAGTGAATCTGGATTCCCCATTGACTTTGCTTGTCCGAAGGTCCCAAAAGGGGATCCCAGGACACTGCAACCATCATAAATACGAGTCAGTTGCCAAGCGCCTGAATTTTGATCACGTGACCATTGGGGATTCTGCAACGGTCATCAGTGTAAAAATCAGTCACAAGTCACTCTTTTCAGTGCCGTTGGCCACTAAATGAACTGTTGTAGGTCGAGGACTGCCTGCACTAAAATCAATAGTTCTGCAGGGCAAGAAATGCCCTGTTTTCTTCATTGGTAGGCCAGAGTGGCCATTTGCTCTATGGCACTTCTACCTTGTCTTTGAGCTACGGTGGCGCAGTGGTTGGAATGCTGTCTAATTCTGCTGGCTGTTTGCAGTTCGGCAGTTCAATTCTCACCAGGCTCAAGGTCGACTCGGCCTCCCATCCTTCTGATATCACTTAAATGAGGACCCAGATTGTTGGGGGCAAGAGGCCGACTCTGTAAACCGCTGAGAGAGGGTGGCAAAGCACTGTGAAGCCATATATAAGTCTGAGTGCTATTGCTATTATTATTGCTATTGCCTTTCAGAGGTTTTGGGTTTGGACTAAGAATATCTATACCCCGAAGCTCTATTGTTGCACACGCGCCCTACTCTTTTGGATGAGCCTTCTACACCACATGCCCAGATGAAAGACAGGGTGACAAGTTGAAATGAGGAGGCCCATTGTGGACACAGGCCTTGGATGATGGCACAGCATGTGCCCCGTTGCAAATTTTGACACCCCTGGTTGTAAGTTGAATCCTAAATAGAAGCACCTTATTCTGGCCTGTGCATAATGACTTAGCAAAGTGTGATAATCTTGTCTTTTTCAACCTTTCATGACATTTGAAGAACCAAAAGGAGAGAGGCACTCTCGAGCTGTGTTTCGGAAACATGGCAAGCTGAAGCCGACTTGCTGGCTGGGGAATTCTGGGAGTTGATTTCCACCTATTTTCAACCCTCCAAGCTTGAGTTTAGGCAGTGGAATCACTAGTACAAGCTTTGTTTTCTGCTAAAAATGAAGTTGGGTGCCCTCTGGGAAAAGAGAACCAAGTTGGTTAGAAGTCATTCTCTCTTCCTCCGTCCTCATTAAATAAAACTTTTGCCAGCCCTAAGCCCATCCTCCAGGGTCACTTCTGAACTGTGGTTAACGAAACCAGAATTTTGTTTCCTCCAAAAAAGGGGGAAATGGTTTGAAGGGATATTATAGCCTCTTGTTTTCTACAGGAGGTCAAGGAACATCCAGGCAGTGTCTTCCATTCCAAGAAACAAAGTTGCACAACTTGGTTGCACAACTTAATATTTGCAAACTGACTTGCTGGCTTTTTAAGCAGTCTTCTAAAAGGGATGCAAGAAAATGCATTTCAAATCCTGCCTCTTGCTCTTCAAACCATTAATTCTCTTTATATCTTTTCCAAAAGAGGAAAACCAAGCCAAACCCTTTAATGGTGTCACCAAGGCCTTCTTAAAAGAAATGAAATGCCTTTTGTTTTGCTTTCCAAGTCAAAATGTAGAGGAAACCAAGTTTCCTTACTAAACTCTTTTTAAAAAATTTCTTGAAGAGCAATAATACAATGGTACAAAATGCACGTCTTAAAAGGTTGAAGCCATGATAATTATTTGGTGCTTTCAGGGGCTGATTAAAATACTAGTAAGAGGTTACTATTACCAAGTTCATAGAACAATAGGAGAAGATCAGCACAAATCAAAGTGATGATCTTGAGATCATGTATATCACATGCAAGTCAAGTGTGGCCTTAATATTGTTTAAAAAAAGAAAGGGAAAATACTCCTAAGCATGCTGTGCCTCTGTATAAAATTGAATAAGCAAAGTTTTGCATTCTCTTCTCAGGACACATTTTGCTTCTTAATCATATATGTATTGCACAATGATTTCTTAATAATGAAAAGCTATGTTTTGTTATGTTTTCAATTCCTGTGCAAAGCAAGAAAAATAATTAAAATTATTGTACTTTGTATTAAAATGTGAGCCCTATGGATTTCTTAATAAAGAAGAAAGGTTGCTTTTTTGTCTTGATTTTTTTTTAAGAAAGAAGAAGTTGCACATCTAGGCATAGGATGGTGTGAGGTGGCATACTCTTTCATAAATTAAAAGCTATTTCACCACAAGCAGGGTGTTCTCCTGAGTTAGCATATGAGAAAAAAGAAAAATAATGGAGTCCATGACATCTTAAGAGAAATGCAAAGCAAAAAGCAAGTGAACAGAAATCCCTTAAAAATGCCATTAAGTTTTAAATGTAGTCCTTGGAATCTAGCCCAGGAATTGTGTCATTTATGACCTTGATAAATGCCAAGTATCCTAAGACTTTGTTTATGCTTTTGTACAATAAGCCTTCGGGAAATATTTTTAGAGAGGCCTAAATGAAGACTAGCTTCTGCTTCATTTTTAGCTCACCGAGATCTTAATTTCCCCCACTTTCTGTCAATGTTGATAGTTTATTCAATTTATATATTTCACACTGTTATCATAGATTTTGCTTAGCTTAGCTTAGCTTATTTACATTCATAATATCTTGGAGCCACGGTGGCACAGTGGTTAGAATGCAGTATTGCAGGCTGACTCTGCTCCCTGCCAATAGTTTGATCCTGACCGGCTCAAGATTGACTCAGCCTTCCATCCTTCCGAGGTCGGTAAAATGAAGGCCCAGATTGTTGAGAGCAATATGCTGATTCTGTAAACCTCTTAGAGAGGACTTAAAACACTGTGAAGTGGTATATAAATCTAAATCAGGGGTGTCCAACCTTGGCAACTTTAAGACTTGTGGACTTCAACTCCCAGAATTCCTCAGCCAGCTTTGCTGGCTGAGGAATTCTGGGAGTTG